TGTTCATGGAATATAGTTTGTCCATAACCACTGCTGCACCTGAAAGTAAGCTCTGTGAATGTTCCCGTGCAGCAGCTTCAGTGGGAGGTAGTGCGGCAATGTTGGGTTTGCTTTTGCAAGATGATGATAATATATAAAAAACCTGCATTGCAAATCGTTAAAATAGTCTCTCGGCCTTTCCCATACAAAGCTATGAGAAACAATGGAAACATGTCGCCTGCTTGGGCAATCTTTGAAAGCTTCAATAACTATGGTACCAAGTCATTGTTTTTTTTGCAGGATTTTGAGAAATTTCAATTTCCTCTGATTGGACAGAACGGAAGTGGTGTCACAACTGTCCACTAATCGCGTGAAGGAACAATATATAGTCTGATAGGGTTTTTGGAAAATTTTATTTACTTTCATTTTAAATAGGGTAGTTTTCGAGTTCTATGCAAAAGACTGTCTCAACTAACAGTTTTTTTACTTTGTTTGCATTTTTTTCAATGTTGCGTCACGAAATTTTGTTAGATCCAGATTCAGTACTTCAAAAAACATAAAGAATGAGGAAAACCAGAACTACCCCAAAACTTTCTCGCGAGCTTTCTAGTGAGGTAAAGGTCCGGATCGAAATCCAGATGGTATCTCAGGTGATTTTATATTTGATTGTGGATTTATTCTTGTTCCGATCCTACATAAAATCTATTCTAAATTTTTAAGATCTGGAATGTTTCCTGAGAAATGGAAAACAAGTTTTGTCACATCTCTAAAAGTGGAGAAAGGCATAAAATTGAAAATTATTGTACAATTACAAAAATATATTTTTGTGGTAAGATTCTTGAGCAGACAGTCACTAATAAAATTACTCCTCTTCCAAGCCACATAATAATCAGAGTCAAAATGGCTTTTTGGAGAGAGGTCCACTATAAGTAACTTACTTACTGGAGTATTGAGTACTTGTTGGGGGCTTTGGATGGTCTCTGTCAGGGGCATGCAATGAACACAGATTTCTCTAAGGCCTAATCATCAAATTCTTCTAAAGAAATTGTTGCCATATATGGCTTATTTAAATGTTTTGTTGAGTAGTTGGAAAGATATGTATCCAAAAGATCTCAGATTGTATTTAACTCGGTATTTAATAGATTTTCAATCCTTCTCTCTTGAAGCTTGCTCAGGGGTACCACAAGGTCCACAAGGGGGTCGCCTTCCGCCAGTATTGTTCAATCTTTTCATTAATTATTTATGTCAGTGCATAGAAAATGCCACTTTTTTACTTTTTGCAGATAATTTCAAATTACCTCTTTATGATAGATGAAGATATTACAGACTGTCTCAAAATTTAGCAATATCTTGATCGTTTCAGTTTGTGGTGTACAAATAATTGTTTATTTTTGATTCTTGATCTCAGATAAGTGTAATGTAATGCGACTTTTTACAGTTCATATTCCTATAATATTAGTTAAGTACTCTGTCAGACTGTAATCAATATGAGTGTTAGTAGTGTCAACTAAATCAAAGGTCTTATATGATTGGCAACATATAGTTTCAAGTTATACTGTTCCTTCTTTCTATTATTGAATATACCAGTTCAGTTTGGAATCCACATTATTTCAAATACAAGGAAAAGCTGGAGGAGATACAGAGTAAGACTGCGAATTGTAAATTACAAACCTAAAATTCCAAAAAAGGACAAAATTTAATAAATATTGACTCTTAAAAAAATAGAAAAATTATGTTGGATGTTAGATTCTTGTTTAAACTGATGAATAATAATGTGGATAGTGCAAGATTGCTGAAACTGGTGTCTCTAGAAGTTCCTAAAAGGATAGCAAGAAATTTCTCCTTGTTGCATATCACATTTTATTGTTATTATTATTACTAAAGCAATAAAGCAGATAAACCGATGTGTTATTGCTATATTTTTAATAATGGCGTTTGATTATTTATAGTTAACTATTTAAAAGATAAATTATTGAATATAAATTGATTGTTTAACGACTGCAGTTTATCTAGTCTATTCTCAAATGGATTTATGTACTTTACACTAAGTAGCTTTCTTTGTTGATTTTTCTCGTATGTCCCCACCTTTTTTTGTTGAAATGAAATCTCAATCAATGGGCTATAGCAGCCTGAGAGTTTTGAAATCCTGGATCATGTCCCTACGTTCTCGTTTTTCTTTTATTGATGAAATCTGGAATGATCTTAATCTTTCTGGATATGATGAATGTCTGGTTTCATCAGAAATTATTGTCATTTTTCTCTGGACTCTTTCAAGGATTTCGATATCTTTAACAAAGTATGGACTCCAAATGTCCGGATATATTCCATTCTGTAAAGAATCGTTCCTAGCCACTGATATAGGTTCACTAAGAGAATCAGCGCATCTCGACAAAAAGTCAACTGGAATTAAATCCGGCCCTGGACTAGCATCTTCTAACATTTCCATTAATTACTTCTGGTAAGGAATTAATGGTTCTTATTTCATTAACTGACCTAGTATTCACTGGCAAGCTAGGGAAATTATTTATTGTTTATGCTGTAAATACTTTCCCAAACTAAAGAGCAAGGGCTTCTGTCGTTTCTTTCAGGCTGTTTTCGCTAAGTTATCTTTATCTTTCAAGGTAATTGAGGTTGTATTTGAAATGATTGTATGTTTAATGTATGAGAAAAAATATTCTCTTTGTCCAAAAGTCCTATTTTATACCGTTTTTTTGCTTCTTTCAAATGGTTTTTTAACTCATTACTATACCTTCTGTATTCTTGATATGCTTCTTCTGTATAAGCTCTTTTTTATCTGTCCCATAACTGTCTTTTTCTTTTAATTTTTTCAAATGTCATCTCGTTAATCTATGGCTTTTGGGAGTTGGTTGTTACTTTTCTCAATGGAATATTTCTATTAATAATGCCCAAAATTTCATCTATGAAGTTGTTCAGGTTTTCTGAATAATTTGTTTGCGATATCTGCTCGTTTATTATATCATAATCTTTCCAAAAGTTTCTTTTTTCTACCCTATGAGTATATTGTGTTAGGGCAACTGCACGTATTACATGATCGCTGATACCTACTGGTGGAAGTGACGAGACCCTTGAAAACAGTTTTTTATCATCTGTGAACAACAGATGCAACAAGCCAGTATTTTTGTAAAAATCTATAAATGTTTCTGAAGCTTGATTATACTGACATCTTAAGAAGGTTCAGTTTATAAAAGGATAATTAGAATTATTATATTTTCATATCTTATGGATAAGTTGTGTAGATATTCAATCAATTCCTGTTTCACCAACGAAATATCCGGAGGCCTATAATACAAACCAGGCAAAACCTATAACCAGATATCTGTATATTTGAAGCAATTTTCATAGAACAAAGTATCAAATGAACAAAATGGTTAGGTCATTGAATAGATTGGACGATATTGATTTTTTTAATGTATGTCTTGGACAGTTTGATAGAATGATGAGAGAGTTTCTGAAACATTCATATAAATAATCCAAGCTCCGAATCCAAGACAACAATAAAACAATAAATATCCTGTAGCAGACAAACGAAAAACTCAATAAAAAATCACACACGTATAAGATGATAAAGTAACAGCCAAGGTAATAGTGAAATGCAGAAACCCAATCACTGACAGATACAGAATGACAACCCTCAATTAAGTTAGTCGTTCAGAAATTCATATACAGAATAGTATGTTTTAGAAATCAGGAGAATTTTTACTTCTTTCTCAAATTTTCTCTCATTTTCGAATCTTCTTATTCCAATAAAAACAAGCAATGTCAGTATCTTATGTGTTAAAAACGAATCTCTACTTTGCTCATTTAACCTATTACTCGTTTTTGTAAAATAAAGAGTTAATCAAATAGGAAAACTGGTTTCCACTAATCCAAACTAATCAAATTACTCCAATACTCGAACCATAGCCCCCAAAATTGCTCAACTTTCTGTCATTGACAAAATAAGCTCGATAATAAGTTCTCTATTTCATAGGCATCTTGTTACATTTGTGTTGGATCTCTCAGTATTATGTAGTTGTAGTACCCAGCAGGTACATGTTTGTGGGTCCTAGGCTTTCTTTTGAATAAAATAACCCAATATTGGGAACGTTTTCAAATGAAGCTGCCTAGGGGATTCTGCAAAAATTTCTAAGTAATCTACTTCGGTTATTCTAAGTATTATTTAATCTAGAACTAGGGCTAAATTCACTACTTTTCATTTCCCGAATCAAATCTCAAATGCCTTTCTGTTAACTTTGAGACACCTTCTATATGTTCACATTACATGGCTGTGTTAAACAAACTTTATAGTCATATTATTATTGTTTGTGAATTGAAAATTTAAATAATTAAAGTCACAGTGGGAGGTTTCAGAAAAGGGATTCTCAACTCCATACTTAGGAACAAGTTGGATATATTGGATCAATGCTTCAAGCTCTAGAACTAAATGCAAAATTTGCTAATAAATCCTGGCTATGTGTGAACTTACAGCGCTTTGAAAATGTCAAATATCTGAGCCTTGTAATGTAAATGTATCTTTGAAGTATTTCCAAGACATCAAACGATAATGCAGTGTAATGTCCTAATTTGTCTAGGACACAAATACTTAAACCAGAAAATACTATATTACCCCAGTTCAATCATCACTAAATTGCACTTAATAAAATCTCACCCGAGGATATTAAATATAATTTTATGGCTTTTCTGCTTATGAACTTTATTAAATAATTGGATTTAATTAATTTTTTAGCATCATTGAACCTAAATTTAGTCTTAGACCACTGCATGACTTTGTTTCTTTTTATGCAAGAAGGTATCTATAATTATTAATCTGTTTCGGTAGATATTTAAAGTCGAGTTTAAAGTTTTATTTTTATTCATTTGGAACTTTTGAAAACTAATATTCTCTACTATTATTAGGGTGCTTTTCTGGTTGGTTGCGTATATATTTATTTATTAATTTTTTTAGTTAAAATTGGGCCTTTTAATTCAATCCCGAGTTTAATCCTGAATTGCTTTTTCAGTGGCGTTTATCTTCCCCTGACTCTAACACACCCAACTATCGTTCCCGTGTAGATGTTACCTCTTGCATTGCGAATCCCCTTGTGATCCAGGAACAGGAACCTTGGAGACGTAGACGTAGGCACAATCAACAAGTAGAGTGCCAGTACACAGCGGCAGAAAGGCATTACGCTAGTCGTTATTTTGTCGGCATGGCTTTAGATGTCCCGAAATTTCACGTAAGATTAATTTTAGATGTTTTAAAATATACATATTATATTTGTTCAAATAAAAATTACAGTACCTATGCATTTTATTATAGTGCCAAGGTTTGCATATCCCAAAGACAAGCTACTATTTCAGAAAAGTTGACTACTATGAGAAATTTGATATCACAATGATATCTCATTTGTCGCGCCTATTAAATTTCTTATTTTAATTTACCAAGCCGCAGTACAGATCGTTCTGCTTGGTTAATAAGTTTTTAGTTGCAATTTTTTCACAGTCTTACAATGTGGCAATCTTCTTCTTTGATTTTTTCTTATTATAACTTTGATAGGTTTGTAAGTTTTTTCCCAATTTAAATCATTGTATTTTAATATCATGATCTTTTGTAGATAAATCATCGTGATGATGAGGCCCCCATCAACCGAAAACTGCCCAAAGAACTTCTCTTGAGAATATTCTCTTTCCTGGATGTAGTTTCCTTATGTAGATGCGCTCAAGTATCCAAAGCGTGGAACGTTTTGGCATTGGACGGCTCGAACTGGCAAAAAATTGATCTCTTTGATTTTCAAAAGGATGTTGAGGTATATAAAACAATTTTTGTGAGGTGAAAAAAATATGTGAGATTGTTAAATTTTTTAGGGACCTATCATAGAAAATATATCCAGAAGATGTGGGGGATTTTTACGAAATTTATCTTTGAGAGGTTGCCAGTCTATAGGTGATGGCTCAATGAAAACTTTAGCTCAATTATGCCAAAACGTAGAGGATCTCAATCTAAATGGATGTAAAAAGGTAACAAAAACACATTGATGTTAATATAAAACGCTGGAAAAACTTATTTCAGATTTCGGATACAACATGCAGCGCCCTCTCAAGACACTGTTCTAAACTACAAAAACTCGTCTTGGATAGTTGTTCAATGGTTACGGATCATTCACTAAAAGCTCTGAGCGATGGATGTCCTAATTTAACTCACGTTAACGTCAGCTGGTGTAGCAACATTACGGACAATGGAGTTGAGGCCTTAGCCAGAGGTAATGAAACTTTCATTGACAGTTATAAATGGCGTTCAATCAATAATTTCTGTGGCATGGCTCCAATGATGAATCTGTTACTCGAAACAAGAAGTCATTAATTTTTAATGGCAAAATTAGAAAGTGTAGAGCTAGGAACTTGCTTCTATTCAGTTGCGGTTGAAAAACTATGGTACAAGGTACAAGTAGGCACTATGGAATCCTCATCTTCTTCTTTACTTGTACTTTGTAAATTGTTTTGAGAAAATATTGATTCATCAGAAGTAAACATTGTTGCAGGCTGTCCAAAATTGAAATGTTTCATCAGCAAAGGCTGCAAACAAATCACTTCCAGGGCTGTTATATGTTTAGCGAGATTTTGCAATCAATTAGAAGTAATTAATTTGTTGGGATGTAGCGTAAGTAACTTAAAATTACACACAAAACCAAATTTCAGCATAATAACCATTCACTCCAATAGAATATCCGAGACGAAGCAGTACAATCTCTAGCAGATAAATGTCAAAAGTTGCATTATCTGTGCCTATCTTGCTGCTCAGCTTTAACTGACGCATCACTTATTGCGCTGGCGCAACAGTGTACTAATTTGTCAACGCTAGAGGTCGCCAGTTGTTCTCAGTTTACTGATGCTGGTTTCCAGGCGCTGGCAAGAGTAAGAATTTGCCTTACATTTTTTTTTTTTTTTAATTTTAAAATCTCACGTTTACAGAGCTGCCATTATTTAGAGAAAATGGACTTGGACGAATGTGTCTTAATCACTGATGCCACTTTAATACATTTGGCCATGGGTTGTCCTCGGATAGAGTATTTGGTAAGTGACTCAAATTGGTTAATACATATTGAATTTGTTTTTTGAGCTAAAGTCAGGCAAGGACAGAAATATAGTTTTTCCAATGGTTTCACAAATCCTTATTCCTTACTGCTAGGAATAATGTAAGAAAGACTAATTGTTAATCAAATTTTTATTTGTATATACAGTGGGGCATCAAAATTGGTTAACTATATCCGAGATTTACTATAAACAGTAAAAAATTACATCATTGTCCTATTGGAAATTTTTATGGGAATTTGAAAAAGCGATCGGTATAACCGAGTGTTCATTTTAAACGGGTTTGCTATATCCGAACTCTACTGTATAATCAACTAACTTTCTTCTGTGATCTCTCTAGATCAAACATTTCAATTGCATTTCTGCTCTATGTGACCTACAATAATCTTCTATCAATCTTAAAACATCTCGAGAAATATCTATTACGTTCGAACTCCGTAACGGATAGAGATCATTATCCCTATCGCTATGGCACTTACTGTCTTCTTCTCTCTTGTCGAAATCAATGGAGAGGAGACGTCAATAGAGATAGAGAAAATACTTCGGTTGGTTACAGAGTCGCAGCTCTTGCTTATCTGTTGCGATATTGTTGTGTTTTAGGTTTTCAAGTTAACACTTTTTTCGACTACCTTACTAGAAAACGTCATTTCCGTCCCCTAAACAAGGGAGAAAAATAGTTCTGGAGCAAAGTTTTCCTCCCTTTAAATTAATAAACCACCAAATTTTTAGAATATTTACTTACTCCGTAGCGCTACAGCCCCTGTGCCATTTTCAATGCCCAGTGTCAGATTCACAGCAATGTTGTCCAACCATTTCATTCTGGGTCTGTGGTCTTTTCCCCTCTGGGGTTTCTGCCATACCAGTCTAATTAGCCTTTCTTCGGGTTGCCTACGCACGTGGCCTGCCCATCTAAGTCGTTGAGCCTTTACTATGTTGCACAGATCTGGTTCATCGTAACAGTTCTGCATTATTTTGTATTGCTGCGCCTGTGGGTCCTTTGTCGGGCCGTATATTTTCCTAAGTATTCGTTTTTCAAATCTACCTCCTCATTTTGTACCGTAAGCGTACATGATGACACTTTTTGTATACTTTGATTTTGGATCTTCTAGTAACTTTTATGGATCCAAATATTTTCTTAAGGGCATACCAAGCAGTTGTTTGCGGTTTTTAGCTAGTGCTTTATTTCCCCGCCGATGTCATTGTCGACTGTGATGATCGAACTGCTACTTGAACTGCTTGACGTTCTCAAAGTTATACTAATTCATTGACACATTTTGTCCTACTCTCCCTCTGTCTGTCCTATATTGGAGGTATATGTATCTTCGAAACAACAGAAGTTTCAGGTATAATATTTCGATTGCTTTCCGTCTTCATTTCATTAAAAATCACATTCTTTGCATGAACCAACTTTCTTTCATTTACATCCCACAATCTATACCCATTGACGGCATACCCAACATAGCCAATTTTTCTGATTGGGGGTCCAATTTTGATTTTCTTATTTCTTGCATCCAAACAGTTTAGTTTTGTCTAAATTAGGTTTTTTATCATGCCAAATTTCTGCTAGTGTCTTGTGATCCAATTCCAAAGTTCTTGTCTCTGATATGTTTTTAATATAGCAACTTGCTCTAATCGTTTCTTCCCACATTTTTTTTTATCTAATCCTGAATCTAAAATTAAGCACCTTGCCTTTTCCATCAAAATACGGAACCGTTTGACCACTTTATTTTAGTATACCTTACTGTGTATTGAATTCTGATACCTTTTTCCTCACAAATATCTCTTAAAAACTGTCAATATGTACTCCTCTGCGTTGTCACATCTCACATCTCAATTTTTTCAAAATGCATGTTAAACTTACCTCTACCATCGCAACATAACTTTTTAGTTTGTCAAATTCCTTTGAATTATTATTTAGCAAATATGTGATACCAAAATGTGAAAAATGGTCTATAAAATGTCATGAAATATGACTTACCGCCGTGTGTAACTGACTTTATAGGTCCACAAAGGTCAGTGGAGACTGTTTCCAAAACTCTTCTCATGCCTTTCTATCTGAGGGTGTATCTTCAAATGGACACTTTGTTTGCTTCGACATTACACATACTTCACACAAACCTGGTGCTGGATACTTTGCAGAGTGACCCATTTTTCTATGTTGTAACCACTTTTTCTCTTCTGTGCTTAATGCTGTGTTTGCGCTAGCTTATGATCTCAAGTTTAGAAAAGTTTCCTGTTAATTTTACTTCGAGCACCACTACTTTATTTTTTATTATTTGTACTTTAAATACTACCATTTTCTTTTAATTTTCGCACAAATAAGTAACAGGTTATACAACAACCCTTCACACACCCAAACATTTTTTAAAAGGACTTTTGTTCCATTTTCGGTTTCCAACTCAAGATTTCCTTCTATTTTTGCCTGATTAAGTATTCTGTCCTTTTTTTGCCACATTAATCTTCTTTTTTGCCACCTTATTTTCTTGTATAAACTCTGCCAACTGTCAACTGACTTCCAACAAGATGATTATTTGTTCCGCTATCTACCACAAAGCTAATTTGATCTTTACTGTTTCTGTTAACAAAAAACAATCTCATTCTCTTTTTTTTTTCTTCTTGTTTATCTGCTGTTTTGGGCATAACCACCTCTATAGCTGCCTCTAAAATCTAAAATGACATCCGAAAGGAAACTGTTTATTTCTGCTCTCATTACTTACACTTAAACCTCCGCCATTGTAATGTTGTCTTCTAAAATTCCCTCTTCTATAATTTCCTCTATATCTTACCCCAAAAGCCATATTTGGGTTGTTATAATCATTCTCTTTAGCTTTTGACTGTCTTTGTTTTTTCATTAACAACTTGCTTTTTACAAACTCAAGGTCTACAGCGGCTTGATTTTGACAAAACATAATGTCTATGGCGGTAGTGCTGAAAAAAGTTGTAATATAAGTGCATCTTTATATATGCTTCCGCCTGCTGTCTTCACTCTGATACAATGGTGTCAAACTCGAGGTCAAACTGTAGAAAATCATTCAATGGAGTTCCTTCTGTATATTTCAAAGTTCTTAACTCTTTTTTGCAATATAACTTGTGTCGATATTCCTGTTTTTGCCTATGTATTTTTCAAAGTGTCTAGTATATCTTACGCTGTAGTCTTTTCTTTTATTGATTCCAAAATATTATCAGATATTTAAACACTGGATAATTATTGTCCTTGCCTTTTTCCATGCTTTCAATTTTTTCAGATCTGTTTCTACTGGTATTTGTGACGTTTTCCGCCATTATTCCGGCTTATTTTTTTTTTCGCCTTCTTTCCGTGTAAACTTGAAGCGTGCTTTTATTTTCTCTTACCTTACTTTTTCTGCTAAATTCCAGCAATTCTTCGATTCTAGATGAGCACTGGGCCCATAACCTATTGGAGGTATATATAAATCCTTTATTTAGTCAAGACTAATTTACAGTTATACAGTGACAGTTATCAATTGAAATTCTACTAAAGCTAATTTATAATTTAATTAAAAAACAATTTTCATGTAATAATTTAAAATCTACAGTCAATAACACAATGATAAAAAATTATTAAAAAAAAAAACGAACACTGACACAATACAAGTTACACATACTACTTACTTATAAGTTAGCATAACTTAGCATATAATCTTTGAGAACTTTTTTAAAAGAATTCACTGTTTTCATAGACTTAACCGAGGACTTAACATTATTTGGCAGATCATTATACCTACTCAAGCCCTTAAAATATAATGAGTTTTGCGACCTTTCCTGATCTACCCTTGGGATATAAAAATTTTCTCTGTGGCGCGTATGATATTTATGCACTTCAGAAGCATACATAATTTTGCCTAACAAATATTGCGGAGCTTGACCAATCTTTATTTTATGAATGAATGTTAGGGTGTTAAACAGAAGAAGCTCCCGCACTGGCAGCCATTGAAGTTCTTTTAACATATCCTTTATTGGTGTTAACCTTGGTTTTTTGAGTATCACCCTCATACTTCTGTTTTGCAATTTCTGCAATCTTGAGAGCTCATTTTGTCTGGAGAGAAACAAAATACTAGAACAATAATGGAAATGTGGAAGTATTAATACATTAAATATAGTTTTTTTAGTCCAAGTAGACAAGTATGGAGAGCAGCGAGATAAATAATTTACTTTAAAAGCAATTTTTTCAATTATTTCTAATGCATGACTTTTAAAATCTAGTTTATGGTCAATCCAAATTCCTAAGTATTTAATTTTTGTTACCATTTCAATAGTGTCGCTGCCCAACAATAATTTGCAGTCCATAGCCAATAGCTGTTTGTAAATGGATTCCCTTGCAATAATCATGTACTTTGTTTTAGAAATATTGACCTTCAAATCATTAACATTACACCACTGATACACATCATCCAATATTTGATTATGGTATATGAATCTTCGAAACACAACAGAAGTTCCAGCAGGATAATTTTCAATGAAACTATGTTGGTCTTTCAGAAACACGCTTTTACTTTTTTATATACAGTGTGCACCATAAAGTTTGGTACATATGGGAAAATTCTTATTTATTCCTTTTTTCAAAAAACTTTTCTTGGGTATCGTTAGGGCATGTTCGATAACCAAAAAATCGATTATGACACATGTCCTGTTATTTTCCTGATGAGTGATGACCAGAAAATGTGCAAAAAGTGACATGGTTACAGTTATAGCGACACAACCGGACGGTATTTTCTAATTTATGACCTTCAAATGTGTATTTCGCAAAACAATCGATTCGTTTGATATCAAACTTATGTAGTTTAGTTGAATAAAGCTATTTTTGAAATAAAATTAATATTTTCGATTTTCCATTTGATGGTATGGGTAAAATAGGTGGTTTTATTTTTTTTTCTCTGATTCGCTTCAAAATCGGCAGGTGGAGTTCTTTTTGGATTCTGAACAACTTTTTCTTATAAAATTTTTTGATATCTTGCCAAATTTAC